AGACTTCCCGTCCGCCGGTGCCTTGGCGTAACTCTATTATCCCTCCTCTCCGAGGAGAGGAGAGTTTCTTTCTCTTTAGGAATTTAGCTTACTATGCCCACGCCGATACATAAATCAACTGTTCATAAACTCGTATATGCGTCCGAGCCAATCGTACGCCAAATTGTCTAATTCTCAAACTGGGAAAAAAATGGCATTCGCAAAAATCCACGCCACTAACAAGAGAAGATCAAATTGCAAAATTCATGAATTCCCAACCCCCCATTGCTCGCGTAGGCATACATGGATATATGTAACAGCTCGGGGATGGCAAGCTGATCAATCTCAAATCTTTCTGGGTAGGCAATGTCAGATTAAAGTGCTATGGAGGGCTGACGAGAGAGAATATAGTAAAAAATTTTGACCCACAAGGGCCCCGATCAGATTCCTGCACAGACAAGGCAAGCGATTAGATGAGATCCGGTCGGCAGCGAGGAGTATTATGCCGGTTGCCGTATAAATGCGCATGAGAGCAGTGAAGAAACTCACAGCCCTGAGAACCGGATTTTTCCACTGAACACTAGTCTGTTTTAGATGTTCGCCGACTTCCTTCACCTAAAGCAGAACCCATAGGGGCACAGAATTCCCTAACTTCGCCGATTATGGATGAAAATTAACGTTGAAAAGGGACATTTGGTGAGGAAGGCTCAATCTACAACCTTTTGTAAAAAAATCGTCAAAAGGACAACAGGATTACGGTCAAACAACGCGATGTCGCCTTAACCTCGAAAACTTGAACTCTGTATCGGTCGAGAGGTGTGAACAACAGGGGTCCACTGGGACAGCGGCACATTTTCCCACCTCCGTTAGAGGCTTAGGCCTCATCGGGTGGCTCGGCAACCGCAGTTATCGGAACGGCAGCAAGCAACTCGGGAATGCGTAGAGACCTTTCACCGAGACCGTCACAAGAACGAAAGTGCTCTTTTGACTGACAAACCACCACCCATCTCCAAAGTTGGCGAACCCCAGGGGTATGGCGGTGTTTCCGTGTCGTCTTTTCGACGTGCACGAAAAGTTCCAGTGGAGACGTCAGGCGATTGTTTTAAACATGGGATGCACGCGAGGAGCGATGATGCCGCGTCAAAAAT